TTAACAATTATTCCGCGAGTGTGCGTTGGATATGAGATGGTAAATAGCCAACGAGGTGTGTAGTACCAAGTTGGCTATAATCATCTCATATCCAACAAGTGCGAGTGGAATAATAAATTGTTTTCTTAAAAATGCCCACAAAATGTCAAGAATTCATCCTGATTTTATTTGTAGAAACAACCAATTTTCAGCTTGTTTTTAATCTTGAGCAGATGCATACAGTTACCATATTTGGAGAGCGTGGTATAATGGCTCATATACGATTATGACTAAGCCAATCAGAGCTCTAGGATTGCATCATCCAATGATTCAGTTTTTAATATTAGGGGATGTCTCATGAATCAATCATTGTGATTACGATTGACAACACCCAATACCCCAAAGCATCTTGCCAGACGTGCCCAGGAAAAAAACCTGTGGTACCCACAGTAAAAGTGAGCAAAGAATGTGACAGTGATGACTCATGAACTTGTCAAATGTTTGTTGTAGTGTCAGGATGCCGCAGCATTTCTCCAGTACAAGCTGGCGTTATATCCTTTGGAGCAATATCAAAAGGTACTGAAACCTTGCATTGTACATTATTTTAAGCCACAGAATAGCCTGTGCCACAGATGAAATGAAACCTCTGTTTTAGTCCATCTGCAAGTCAGCCTCAAAATCCTTGTTCTGGGTCCTCAGCTGGGTTTATGGTCAGGTCGCCCGAAACAAGAGATTTTTTTTTTCACTAATAAACTTTCTATTCAGAAAGATAAATATTAACAGTTTGCTTTTTTGAGAGTGGGACATCTTGTCTCCACTATTTTTAAATTACTATCCAAATTGTAACAAAAACAGGTTACTTACAAACAGCAAATTACATAGATGCAGAGTTATGTCACCCGAAATGCTGAGTTCTATCGCATGGTATTGGCTGGGATGATGTGAAGTTCACGTAAAATATTTTAGAGGTTGCAATTAAACTGTAGTCTAATAATTCTCAAGACATCTGCACATTTAATTGATTCATTGTTTGAAACATCAGCAAGTCCATGCTCAACTGCCTCAAAGCAAACAATGCAGAATATTGTAATGACGATGGTTGAATTCTGATCATTTGACAACACTGAACCGCAGACCTCTAAGGAAACCAACTTCCCATTAATAATTAATCGGAAGTTCAAGTGTTTAATTGGTCTTAAAATAACTTTGGTGAAATTCACACATCCCAAGGGCAAGACTGGACATTTCCCTTTCTGCCCCACTCACTTTAACTATGCTCAAAAGTTTCTCAGTTTTTAATTATGTTCATTGTTATGATATCTTTTAGTGTCTTCAAAGTGCGGGGATATCATATGATGCAAAACTGATATTTAATGCCATAAGTTATATATTCAGGTATGTGTAAAGAGGAAAAGGCAGTATGGACAATTAGTCTAGCTTGATGATGATTTTTTGAAGATCTCTTATGTTAAGATGTGGGGCCCTTAGTGCTATTCAAATACATTTCTCCAGCCTGTATAGCAAGCGTTTCCACTTAAGTTGTTCCAAGAAGATTTGGAGCTAGAGCAAAAAAAATGGAGGTAGGCTAAAGGGTAGGGGAGAAGAAGGATTAAACCTTCTGACTTGAGGATTCACCCAGTTAAATAGCAAACCCTACTTAAAAGAGAAAAATTAAACATCATTTTTGTAAAAAGATTGTAATAATTATAAGATTACTATTATGCCTGTACTAGTAGTTTGTTTCTGCTTGAACCACAAAAAAGTTAAACTACGAAAGCTAAGGTAGCTATTTTGTCACATGACAGCCTTCATTAGAGAAAGTAATAATAAATATTGAATATCACCAACCAATCTCCTTTTTCTATTCATACATTCAGTGGTTCAGAGTATCAACATTAATTTTGTTTTGTAAGACATCTAGCTTTCTCTAATCTTAGATGTCTTGTCATCCCTTGTAAGGGAATCGGGATTCTGGAATCTGGGAAATTATTTTTTGCTTGTGGAATCCGGAATCCTGGGCCATGGAATCTGGAATACAGCTCAAGGAATCTGGATCCCACTAACAATTGGAATTTGGAATCCAAGTTCCACAGGCACAGAATCTGGAATTGAGTACATTTAATCTGGAATCCATGGCATGGGATCCAGAATCCAAAAATGTCTCAGATTCCCAAACATTAGGCACGTCTTAGACAAAACCTGGCAATGGCAATTGTCATGTCTTCCTTTATGATGACTGCAACCCTGAATTTCTTATCATATTTTATTTGTTTTTGTTAATTGTGTTCTTTTTTTTTTTCTTTCATAATTTTCTAAGGTCTGCTGCTAAAGCTAAACTACCTGCTGATAAACTGATAACAGAACTTAAATCATCTCTCTGCTGGAAAGAAGCTACTCTCTCGGTTATAAAACATGTCTGGAATGAACAGGCAAGGGTGTGGTCGATTATTATACATTGTACTTCCATGAAAAAATTAATTTGGGATCTTACTATGATGAAGGCAGGTGCAGCAGGAACGAAAACAGAAAAATTTGAAAAACAACACGGTCAGTGAGCAAAACATTAGCTCAACGTGTTTGGCAAATGAAGTTTTTGGCCAGTCAAGTCGCCATTCTGATCGGACAACGTCCGTTAATGAGCCATTATTTTGAGCCCTGTTTCCTTTTCCATGTACTTACTGTTTTCAAAAGTTTTCTTACATTTCCTGTCTTGCAGGGGAAGCTTTTATGCAGCTCCGACTTAGCACAGACTTTGAATGTGGGACAGGTAATTCGCAGGCTACAGTAAGCATGAACTTGACACAATAACCATCTTTTACTAGGAAAAAAAAAAACAAGAAACAAAACCAAAGAACAGTCCTGTTACACCCGTATCTCCCCATAACATCCCCACCCTGTCCCCTAGGTGGCTGTTGAGCAGATGTTCAACTGTAGTTTATTTTTTTTCTGCTTGAATTAGACAGGTTCAACAACAGGAAAACTGGTTTTAGTTTGTTTCAAAATGGAAATCACTGTGGCCTGTTGGCTTTTGTTATTTTAGCCTAAAAACTAGGGTAATAATGATGTTTATTTTTTTCAACACTTCTGACAAAAATCTACATTTTCTTGCAAACTACATGCTGTAACAACAGAAATTACATCTTTCCCCCAGCTGGTTGACATGAAATGGAAGCTCTCTGTTGGTGTGAGTTCCAGTGCTTGCCGCAGCCTAAATTCTCCCTACATTACAGCGTTAGTAACAGTCACAGATCCCTCTGGAGCTCTCCTTACTAAGTCCTTTGAAATGACAATTGGTGAATTCAAGGTAATCTACCGTAAAGTATAAGAGGTGTTATCTTGTCCGTTTACGCTGTTATCAACACTCCTACATCTTATAGTAATCAGCGTCTTATTTCTCCCTACATTTGGTCAACCATACAGGTTAAGAGAATTAAGTTATTTATCAGTCATGCAAGGGAGGATGTTTTGATTTTTAAACCTTTTGTTTTTATCTGGGATCAATACAAGATTCTGTACCAATGAAAATGCAAAAGCAAAGAAATATTGGGTCAAAGAACTCAAAATTTCACCTAATCTTGGTTTGCAACCACGTGACGAGGCGGCCATGTTGGGAGTCAATGCAATAAAATTTTTTTTCTCGAGGAATTGACATGAAAATAGAGTTTCTTGACCACCAGTATTGCCGTCGTGACGTCAAGTGCACACCAGCAATACACTGTAACCAAATGATTGGCATTAGACGCATGGGTGTATTGATTTTGAATGTTATTTGGTCTTACCGGCACTCCGAAGAGTCGTTTTCAGAGGGAGACGTATTTTGATTTGCGTTTCCAGGACATAACTTCTATCGTTCAACATAAAAGAGACTAGTTTTAGAATCGTGAGCGATAAATTCCATTCTTCAAGCCAGCTCGGTTAGTAAGAATTCTTTGTCTTTAAACCACAACTTTCTTGCTTTCAGAAATTCGCCGCTCAGATGAGGGAAATTGCATCCGTCCTAGAAACTGTATAAACAAGATTCAGGCCGTAGAGATGTACGCGAATTAGTTTTACAAATCTAAAACGGATGAAGATAAAAAGGAAATTATACATGGTATATCCGAGGATCATGGTGTGAGATTTGGAGTTAGTTGAAAACTATGGATTTGACTAAAAAGAAACAATTTCGAGACAAGCTTAGGGACAAATAACCTGCGTCGTAGACACTCTAAACCTTCTGTAAACGAAGCGTGGGCTCGCTGCAGCGTAGGCTAAAAGACATAGTGATTACAGCTAATTGCGATAACTCTCGTTCGTTGCGGAAATTCGATACAATTCTCCATCGTATCTACGCGCTGAATGAGCGTCATGTTGTTGTTTATGCTAACTAGTATTTTTTAAGCAAAATTTCCATTAAAGGTAGGAGGTTTGTATCAAAACAAGGTTGACCTCAGACTCAAGTTCACTCAAAGGCTAGGGCACAAGCCCACAGCTGTAAAATGGCCTGTTACAACCCCATTAAATATGAAAACATCCAGAATCTGGATGGTTTACTACTTGGCTCTTAATAATCTGCTACTTAACAATTATTCCGCGAGTGTGCGTTGGATATGAGATGGTAGATAGCCAACGAGGTGCGTAGTACCGAGTTGGCTATAATCATCTCATATCCAACAAGTGCGAGTGGAATAATAAATTGTTTTCTTAAAAATGCCCACAAAATGTCAAGAATTCGTCCCGATTTTATTTGTAGAAACAACCAATTTTCAGCTTGTTTTTAATTTTGAGCAGATGCATACAGTTTCCATATTTGGAGAGCGTGGTATAATGGCTCATATACGATTATGACTAAGCCAATCAGAGCTCTAGGATTGCATCATCCAATGATTCAGTTTTTAATAATAGGGGATGTCTCATGAATCAATCATTGTGATTACGGTTGACAACACCCAATGCCCCAAAGCATCTTGCCAGACGTGCCCAGGAAAAAAACCTGTGGTACCCACAGTAAAAGTGAGCAAAGAATGTGACAGTGATGACTCATGAACTTGTCAAATATTTGTTGTAGTGTCAGGATGCGGCAGCATTTCTCCAGTACAAGCTGGCGTTATATCCTTTGGAGCAATATCAAAAGGTACTGAAACCTTGCATTGTACATTATTTTAAGCCACAGAATAGCCTGTGCCACAGATGAAATGAAACCTCTGTTTTAGTCCATCTGCAAGTCAGCCTCAAAATCCTTGTTCTGGGTCCTCAGCTGGGTTTATGGTCAGGTCGCCCGAAACAAGAGATTTTTTTTTTCACTAATAAACTTTCTATTCAGAAAGATAAATATTAACAGTTTGCTTTTTTGAGAGTGGGACATCTTGTCTCCACTATTTTTAAATTACTATCCAAATTGTAACAAAAACAGGTTACTTACAAACAGCAAATTACATAGATGCAGAGTTATGTCACCCGAAATGCTGAGTTCTATCGCATGGTATTGGCTGGGATGATGTGAAGTTCACGTAAAATATTTTAGAGGTTGCAATTAAACTGTAGTCTAATAATTCTTAAGACATCTGCACATTTAATTGATTGATTGTTTGAAACATCAGCAAGTCCATGCTCAGCTGCCTCAAAGCAAACAATGCAGAATATTGTAATGACGACGGTTGAATTCTGATCATTTGACAACACTGAACCGCAGACCTCTAAGGAAACCAACTTCCCATTAATAATTAATCGGAAGTTCAAGTGTTTAATTGGTCTTAAAATAACTTTAGTGAAATTCACACATCCCAAGGGCAAGACTGGACATTTCCCTTTCTGCCCCACTCACTTTAACTGTGCTCAAAGGTTTCTCAGGTTTTAATTATGTTCATTGTTATGATATCTTTTAGTGTCTTCAAAGTGCGGGGATATCATATGATGCAAAACTGATATTTAATGCCATAAGTTATATATTCAGGTATGTGCAAAGAGGAAAAGGCAGTATGGACAATTAGTCTAGATTGATGATGATTTTTTGAAGATCTCCTATGTTAAGATGTGGGGCCCTTAGTGCTATTCAAATACGTTTCTCCAGCCTGTATAGCAAGCGTTTCCACTTAAGTTATTCCGAGAAGATTTGGAACTAGAGCAAAAAAAATGGAGGTAGGGTAAAGGGTAGGGGAGAAGAAGGATTAAACCTTCTGACTTGACGATTCACCCAGTTAAATAGCAAACCCTACTTAAAAGAGAAAAATTAAACATCATTTTTGTAAAAAAATTGTGATAATTATAAGATTACTATTATGCCTGTACTGGTAGTTTGTTTCTGCTTGAACCACAAAAAAGTTAAACTACGAAAGCTAGGGTAGCTATTTTGTCACATGACAGCCTTCATTAGAAAAAGTAATAATAAATATTGAATATCACCAACCAATCTCCTTTTTCTATTCATACATTCAGTGGTTCAGAGTATCAACATTAATTTTGTTTTGTAAGACATCTAGCTTTCTCTAATCTTAGATGTCTTGTCACCCCTTGTAAGGGAATCGGGATTCTGGAATCTGGGAAATTATTTTTTGCTTGTGGAATCCGGAATCCTGGGCCATGGAATCTGGAATACAGCTCAAGGAATCTGGATCCTACTAACAATTGGAATTTGGAATCCAAGTTCCACAGGCACAGAATCTGGAATTGAGTACGTTTAATCTGGAATCCACAGCATGGGATCCAGAATCCGAAATGTCTCAGATTCGCAAACATTGGGCACGTCTTAGACAAAACCTGGCAATGGCAATTGT